AGACCCAGATCTGATCCGGATCTGACCTGGATCTGTTTGACCAGAGCTGCAGATCTTCGGGTTGAGCTGCTTGTGCTTTTGTTTCACTTTTCCGTCTTTACATACGGTGAAACATTAAGTCATGAAAATGTGCTGAAAGTACCGGCGTTTACACTGCGGTACGTGCAACGAAATACACCTGTTTCTCTTTGAGGTAACCATGGCTACAGCGATGAAGTAAAAGACTCTTGTGGAACATTCCGGACAAAACAACATTTAAGAGGGCATTTCTATACTTTTTCTCAAGTACTTCTACATTTATTTTCCATTGGAATGCTTTGTACATAGTTACCTAGATGATTCAATATTGCAATACTTTTAAGTTTTTTTAATTTTCATTTAATTGCACAAAACCATAGTGGTGCAGAAATATTTGTGTATGTATTATCTGGCTCTATGAAATTGTTGAAGCCAATCTCTTTTAATTGTTATGTTATAGTTTTACTCATAAAAAGTACAATAATTTAAAACACGTCAGCTATGTTTTGAAAGTGACTGGTCGATTCACGTTTGTTATCTCACATATTGAAGTCAAAGTATCTCCGGATTAGGAGATAAACGCACAATCCGGGACACTGTGGTTGAAGAATAACTTTGATAAGACGCTGCCACAGTATTGTCAAGGTTAGTATTGATGATTGTATGAATGCAATAAACGCACAGTATATGATCTCTCAGGTTTAAATATGTTCAAACTAAACTGTGAAGAAAAAACACTGAGATTCTCTGTCCAAAAAAATGCAACACCTCTTTATTTCACGCCACGATTCACTTTCAGAAACAAATATTTGACAATCTTAAATCTTACATCTGTCATCAACATTAAACTTTTCAAAAACGTCTCTTTTTGTGTCTCGTCTTGTGCATTTAGTGCCGTTTCAGCTCATTTCAGTCGTCAGAACTCAGCACATGCAAGAATATGGCTGATTACAACTTGTGCTTTTTTGATTGGATTTGACTGAAGGCACAATAGTTGGACTGTAACGGGGCAATAAACCTGTAGTGAGAACTTGTAAACGCAGAGAGCTGCAGAACAAATGTAAATCAGTTGTTGAAATGACCTATTTACAACAATCTAATATTTAAGAAGCCAAAATTAAACTTTTTATTGTGCCTTATAAGGTTACAGAGGAAACAGCCTGGAGAATGGACTTTATACATATACATTTGTTTTTTTTTCATTTACACAGATTGAGAATAATTTATGTTTGAGTTTTTTATGTTATGTCTTATTTACTTTGTTCTCGACACTGTTCTTGCTTTTATCCGCGAAAGATAGACGACTCTGCAGCATGTGTGGCATTTGATATGACCATGTTTCTGATGATGTCACATAAAGGGGCAGAGAACAGAGCAATATGGCAACACTGGAAACAGAAGTGCGGAATTTGGTTTGTTTAGTAATGCTTTTATAGATGAAACATTTTGCGTGCACGCTTGAATGATATATACATATTTTTGACCGTATGACCCTGTATTTTTCCTAATAAATATATTTAAAACATTATAACAGCATTAAAGCTTTGCATAATATGTCATTAAGCTTCAATAATGTTCAGCTGGATGTGAAAGGGCCGGTGTGGCTGCAGATTTTCATTCCGACCAAGCAGGAGCACACCAGACTCCACCCATTTCCCTATGTCCAGTCTTAACCCCGTAGACTTTGAAGGTTGGAATGAAAACCTGCAGCCACACACGCACTTTCTGGAGCCAGTTTGACTCCACTGCTCCAACCTGTGCTCGAACCAGCCATTGGAAATAGGTTTGGACGCCCCAGATTTATACAGTCTATACCAGTGTCAAACTCAGGCATGTGGGCCAAATCCAAGACTATTTTTAGTGACCCCTGAAAGGATTTTCAATTTTCATACAGTAAGTTGTAGCATATGTATTTTCTCAGGAATCCAATCATAAAATTTCATATTTTCTAAAATGTTAACTAACCTGTAGTTAGAAGTTGGTTCTTTTATTTTATTCTTATATTTGGTCCAGTTGTGGTTGAATCCAAATATATCTGAAAATATTATCCAAACTCATGTCAAAAAAAGTTAATTTTTCAAAACACAAAATATGTAAAATAAATAATGATAATGAGAGAAAACCACTTTTATACTTTTGGCCGTAACCTGATTTTACGTTTATAAACTTGGCCCTCGACCAAAATGAGTTTGACAGCCCTGGTCTATACTACACATACTTTGAATTTAGCTGTTTTCAATCACATTGTTTTGTGTCTTTTCTCTATAGACCTGTTTTATGAAAGCACCAAAACGTGGACTTTAGAATTCAGAAACTTGCCACTGACATGTCTTCTTTACAAAGCGATTATTGCCTCTCTCTTACAGTGCCTTGCGAAAGTATTCGGCCCCCTTGAACCTTTCAACATTTCGCCATATTTCAGGCTTCAAACATAAAGATATAAAATTTACATTTTTTGTCATGAATCAACAACAAGGGGGACACAATCGTGAAGTGGAATGAAATTTGTTGGATAATTTAAACTTTTTTAACAAATAAAAAACTGAAAAGTGGGCCGTGCAATATTATTCGGCCCCTTTACTTTCAGTGCAGCAAACTCACTCCAGAAGTTCAGTGAGGATCTTTGAATGATCCAATGTTGTCCTAAATGACTGATGATGATAAATAGAATGCACCTGTGTGTAATCAAGTCTCCGTATAAATGCACCTGCTCTTTGATAGTCTCAGGGTTCTGTTTAAAGCGCAGAGAGAACCATGAAGACAAAGGAACACACCAGGCAGGTCCGAGATACTGTTGTGGAGAAGTTTAAAGCCGGATTTGGATACAAAAAGATTTCCCAAGCTTTAAACATCTCAAGGAGCACTGTGCAAGCAATTATATTGAAATGGAAGGAGAATCAGACCACTGCAAATCTACCAAGACCCGGCCGTCCCTCCAAACTTTCATCTCAAACTAGGAGAAGACTGATCAGAGATGTAGCCAAGAGGCCAATGATCACTCTGGATGAACTGCAGTTTTTTTTTTTTTTTTTAAGTTTAAATTATCCAATAAATTTTGTTCCACTTCACGATTGTGTCCCACTTGTTGTTGATTCATGACAAAAAATTAAAATGTTATATCTTTATGTTTGAAGCCTGAAATGTGGCAAAATGTTGAAAGGTTCAAGGGGGCCGAATACTTTCGCAAGGCACTGTATATTAGGTTATTTTTTGACAAACAATTTTTTTGATCAACGTCTACTCATTAACCTACTATATTACCCTCACTCTCGTCATTTTTCTGCCTCATCCGAGCGATTTAAACAAACATTCATTTAAAGATAAAACTATTGCGTTATTAATCATGCCATTTCTCCCCAGGGATAACATGGACACAAGTAAATCCTCCCATTGAACTGTAGCTATGACAACACTATCCTTCTCACAAGTAATAAAAATATAGTTCAACTTGGTCCACAGATAGTGCAACTTTTTATAATGGAATCTACTACGACTACTTTTGAAAATAAATAATTGAAGTAAAGATGAACGATGACATGGGTTCTCTACAGACATAACAGATGTGCTTTAAGCGTTCAGACAAAAAACTACAATAAATACATTTCACATGAGCAAAGAAAACAACAAAAAGCGAAACAGAAATGTCTAAAAATTAACAAAAATGAACAGAAGTCATAGATTTAGAGTTGAGACCACGCTGCTAACAATTATGAGGGTTTTTAAAGGGACTATGTGAAGCAAAGGAAGTCAATTTTGTTTTTTCGATAAAAATAATGGTATGATTATTGTCACTAAATATACCACGGTGTATTGTTTAAAGCTAGGGCACCTAACTTTTAACCCCAAAAAAATTTACTATGCAATTAAATCCATTTACTAAGGTTACGGCTCTAGTTTGGTTCTATTGCGAGTTGCATTTTTAGCTTCTGTCACAACTATAGATGATATTTTTCTGACAGAAGAGTGAAAAAAAGAGGACCACCCGCTCTCAGCCAATCAGCTTTCAGCCTAAATCTTCAAATCATGGCTCACAGTGACTCTTAGTGAATCAAAACTAAGTATACAAAAGATAACAAAATAAAAGACAGGATGTTATGGTCTGATACGGTCACAAATGTTTACTTTCAGAAGTCTCTAGAAGTTCTAATGGACGAATATATTTATGAAACAATAAAAGTTAGGTACTCTAGATTTAATAAAAAGGTCCTCTGCATATCCTCCACAGCTGTTCGGAATAACAGGGGAACAATATAGGAAAAAAAGTTGTCAAAATCAGCATTTTTGGAACATGCTTAATAAAGATTACTTGACGGGAAACTTATATGATCTGTTATTAGGAAAATCCTCTTATTTTCAATTAATTTAATAAATTTATTATCACGTGGATGCAATAGATGTATTTAAACTCATCCAAACTCGCGATAAACCATTTTTTTCCCTGAGGAAGCATCAACAGTGAACGAACTACTACTTTTTTTATTTTTAACTCATTGACTGCCATTGACGTATTTGTCTGAGACTGGAGATTTCTGCCAAACTTCCCTCTATTCGACCGGGGATTACAGGAGAACAAAAATAGCTAGAAAACAACCTTTTTGCCGATGAAAGAAACCAGTCCAGTCTTTCAGAATCTGGTTTCATATTTCACATAGTCATAGCACACAATATTCTGTGGGTCTTGAAAATCAGTGAAATCATCAAAATTGGGTGGCAGTCAAGGAGTGAATCATTAGATGTATTGTTATACCACACGGAGTTTCACTTAGTCCCTTTGAAACCACAAAAATGCTTTAACAAGACGCACATTTACAAGACATGGAAAAATATCTTCTCTTCTCAACAGTTTATCTTCATGATGTGGGGGATTTGACTCTCGCTGGTTTAACACACAAACTCGGACAGTCCCAAAAGTCCGTATCTGTTCTCTTTGTGTGTTTCTCTTTTGTATGTTTTTCTTTGCGTGTTTCTCTTTGTGTTTTTCTCTATGTGCCGCCGTTGTAGGAATAGTCCGCCTTGTTGTGCATAACCAGTTTATTGTTCACAAAGTAGAAGCTGTCGGACTGCGTCTCGTACGGGTGCAGGACCATGTCGCGGACTGCAGGGGAGAGACAGAAAACAACACCAGTCATTTTGTGTTTGAGAGAAAGAAGCGTCAATGTTTATACAAGTGAAGTGAAAGGGTTTGTGTTGTGAACAGATGTGGGTTTGTGATGTGAAGTGAAAGGGTTAATGTTAGAAATAAACAGGCAACAATAACATTTCAACTGAATGAGGGGGAAGCATGAGTAGTACTGGGCAGCCATCATTTGCATAGGCATCATATATGTTTTTGTGTGTGTGTGTGCGTGTGGTGTGTACACGTGTATTTGGTGGTGTGTGTGTGTGTGTGTGTATATGTATTTGGTGTCTCTGTGTGTGAGTTTTTATGTGTATTTGCTGTGTCTGACTGTGTGCGTGTGGTGTGTACACGTGTATTTGGTGTCTGCGTGTGGTGTGTGTGTGTGTGTGTGTGCGTGTATCCGAGTGTGTGTGTATGTATTTGGTGTCTCTGTGTGTGAGTGTTATTGTGTATTTGCTGTGTCTGACTGTGTGCGTGGTGTGTACATGTGTATTTGGTGTCTGTGTGTGGTGTGTGTGTGTGTGTATTTGGTTTCTCTGTGTGTGAGTGTGATTGTGTATTTGCTGTGTCTGTCTGTGATTGTGTGTGTGTATTTGGTGTCTGTGTGTAGTGTGTACATAAATATAGTCCCTCCTTTTGGCATAACCACCACATGTAACTCGTCACACTCATTTTCACAGCAATATTGATTTAAACTGACCAATGAGAGACGCACAAGTGAAGCTAAAGTGAATTAAACAGATAATAATAATAATAATAATAATAATGATAATAACAATAGTGTTCTCACTGGTGTCCTCTGACAGCGGGGGAAAGTCGTAGATGTGCTCGCAGGTGTTCTTGGAGTTGGGCATACAGAAACCAAACTCAAAGTCAAAACTCTTCAGCAGCTTCTCCCTGAAATAGTGCCTCTCGATCATCCGGAAGTTTTCTATCGGCAAATCTCCAACGGTGAACTCCACTCTGTAACCACAACAGAAAATCTCATCACAATTATCTGTTATGAGGACTACGGGATCCACTTCTATTTTTGTTCAGGAATCATTCAAATAAAGTTTTTTTTTTTTTTTTTTTTTTTTAAATCTTAACGGAACACCAGCGCGTTTGGAGAAATTAGGTTTTCATCAGACCTGATTGGTTGAAACATGTTGGTGTACCGTCAAAAATGTCTCCATTGTGAGATCATTTCAAGAGATCCTTTGTTTCTTCAGCTGTCAGACTGTACAATAAACCTGGATGAGTCTTCTGCTGCTGGACACCTGAATTTCTCCTACAGGGGATCAATAAAGTATCTATCTATAAAGTTTATCTTATCTTATCTTAATAAAGGATTGTTACTTTAAAGTCAATTGTGCTTTGGACCTTCTTTTTTTTCCTTCAAAATTCAGGTTATTTGGAGCGACAGTGGCTGAGTTGGTGGAGCATTGCCCTTTGAGCCTAAAGGTCATGGGTTCAAGCCCAGCGCGAAACCTTCTCTGACGTTGTGTCCTTGGACAAGATACTTAACACCAGTTTTCCTGGGCCTCTGTGTACTGGGAGGAGCTCTTAAAAGCCCCCCCCCCAATCCAGGAATGGATTAGAGGGAAGAAGATGGATGGATGGAAACTTTAGTATTTGGACGTCATACCTCAGTGATATCTCAGCGTGTGTACCTTTTTTGCCTTCATAACTTGGTGACTTTTTTTGTTTTTCTATATGTAGCTTATTTCTATGTGATTATTCTCTTTTTGGTCTATGGTCCTGCAGAGAAGAGCTGATTACCATAGCAACACATTGTTTACTGTTAGCGTTAGCATTTGGTCTGTTTTTCTGCTATATTTCAAGTTTATTCACCAGTTTTAGCCCTCGTTAAGAAAGGGATAACGTATATTACGCAGGTCATTATCGGAAAATAAGTACCGACAAGGCGAAGCGGACCCCGACGCGCAGGGGTCTGCTTCCGCCCTGAAGGTACTTATTTTCTGCTTATTATACGGCTTTGTACCAACAGAACACACAACATAAACTTCAGTCCACTTTTAGGAATACCGAAAGGTTTATTTAAATAAAAATAAAATAGTTCCCAAAGGCTTTCCCGTGGCTATGCTAGCAACAGTTAGGCTGGAAACTTCCAAACTAGAACTCTCTGGAACTGCATGAAAACTGAACAAAGAATTCTGAACATCAGCGGTGAGTGACCCATACATAAACCTAACCTAAATCCATAATTTGATCCTCTGCAAATGTGTCCGAAAAAGTGTCGGTATCTACTTCCGGGTTTTTCGGGATCGCCTTTTCTCGCATTACATCAGTGTTTTTGTGATGAAAACGTAAACGGAAAATTCTGAAAACTTCCGTGCACTTGTATTAAGAATGTATATGTATAATGTATTCTCCGATTAACATTTAATGGCATTGATTGATTGGCATTTGCGTTTAATGAGCGTGAAAAGCTCCGGAGTAGCCGGAACTACTTCCGGGTTTTTCATGATCGCTTTTTGACGCAGATAAATAGTATTTTTGTCATGAAGACAAGAGCAGTAAGATTCTGAAAATCTCCGTGCACGTGTGTGAAGAATGTATATGTATAAGTATTCTCAGATTAACATTTAAGTGTGTTGATTGATTGGTATTTGCGTTTATTGAGCGTGGCTAGCTCTGGAGTTGCCGGAACTACTTGCGGAGTTATCCACGCATCTGAAAGACAAGCAGAGAGTGCGTTGCCATGGACAGCGGTCATTATTGTTTTGAGAGGTCCGTTATAAAAAATAATGACCGGTAGAACGTTTTGAAATGACATTCAAATCAATGGAGCGTTCTCCTGCTGCTCTGAGGAGTCGTTAAGTTAAGTTAAAAAACCTTATACATTACTTCCTATAACTTGTTTACAGATAAGTTTCTCAGACTCACGTAGCTCCCACTTGTCTCAGTCGGAGAAACGCTGGAGTGAACTGGTATCGGACGAACCTCCCGGCGTTTGGGTCCATGTCCCTCTTGTCTCCGGCTTTGTCTGAAAAATAAGTTTGTAAAATCAAACGTTACCATTAACCCGACATTAAACGACAAAAGCAGCTGCAGAGAGTAACTATCGCTGTTTGTTCTGGCCACAAGGGATTGTGGGAAATGGAATGGGGATTTTACTAGAACAAGAGCAGACTGAGAAGGATTTGGTGATCTCTGACAGCACGAACTCGTGTGTAGTAGTAGTAGTAGTAGTAATAAATAATTATAGTAGCAGTACTAGCAGCAGCAGCATTAGCAGTAGTGGTAGTAGTAGTAGTAATAGTAGCAGTAGTAGTAGTAATAGTAGCAGTAGCAGCAGCAGCAGTGTGAGTGTGACCTGTGGATGGAGGTTTGGTGATCTCGAACAGAACGGTGCTGGTCTCGATGTCTCTGATCTTGAATCTGGTGAAGTCGATGTTGAAAATATTCTCCTCTGGACCACACAGATAATCTGACGGAAACAAAACACCGCATAAATACACATATTACTCTAGTTTTACCACATAAATCATGCAGAGTTTGTGATTGTTATGGTTCATTTTACGTTGGCGTTTTATGTTTTAGTGAAGTAGAAAAAAACATTTATAACTCATATCAAAAAGGCCTGGATAAGTGGAACACCCTCAAAAGCAGTAATATTCAATTCAATGCTTTTTTTTGTATAGCCTAAATCACTTCAGTTATATTGGAGGACTGCACAAAGTTGTCGATTCGCCAACACAGATCAGAGAATCAAACAGTTCAAACAAGTCATTTGTCCATTAGGGGCAGATGAACAATGTCTATAAATGTCCTTAAATGTCCCAAATCATCACTGTCCCACATTGAGGCAGGGATCCACTTCCACAGATGGACCGGCTAATGGCTATAGACCCAGGACTGAGGCTATAGACCCAGGACTGAGGCTATAGACCCAGGACTGAGGCTGTAGAGCGAGGACTGAGGCTGTAGAGCGAGGACTGAGGCTGTAGAGCGAGGACTGAGGCTGTAGAGCGAGGACTGAGGCCATGCGGTGCAGGATTGAGACCACTCCCAGTAGTAGAAGTGAATTTCATCCCGTTATTATTATAAGAATTATCTAATAATAATTTTTGTGTACATTTTAGGATTGATTTAAGGATTGCATTCCTTGTTTTTGACTGGACTGGACCCACACTAACATCTCAAACCTCACCCAGACTTAAAAGACTTAAAACCACAGGGACAGGGCCTTCTTTGTGACCGGTTATGGGACACTCATTCATTTTGTTTCTGACCTTTGTGTGTTTGTGTACAGATTTGTGTGTTTGTGTATGTTTGTGTTTCTAGGAGGATTTGTCTAGCTGATATAAACTATGTACTGTATGTGTGTCTAACCTTTCGGACACACTTTGATTGCAGTTCTAAGATACTGTACGTAAATTGGAGTTTCCTCGCACAGGCCACATACAGTACAATAAAACCAGCACGTTACCACAGCATCAAAACAACACGACAAAAGTAACTTCTTTATCTTTTTATTTGCCCCACGTCACATGTTTATACACCGTGTCTGGAACCACAGCAGGAAGTCAGCCATCAAGATGAATGTTTCGTGTAATGATTAGGACAATAACGTGATGCCATAAAAGGGTTTCGCAGTCATTGAGTGCCTGAGAAGGTCGCGGTCACAGTGATACATGTGACCTAAAGAAGCTATACCCGATTTATTTTTCTAATGAGTTCATAAAAATGCTTATTACTACATACAAGTTGTATTATAATCCGTACATTAATTGAAAACTTGAGCTCATTGATTCAGCTTGTGTATGAATTCAGGCCGTAAAAAGTGCTGAGTGGAGACTTTAGCGTGACGCCTGCTCTCCCTCAATCACAGAACGAGGCTGCAGAATTGGCTATAACTCCTCTGGCTGTAACTGCAGACACAGAAAAACAGCCCAAACGACACAACAGTGAGGAAGAGAAGAGGGAACTAAAGCGAACCCTAACCCTAACCCAGTGATTGTTGTACAGCTTAAGTTGCGCTGATGCTAATCTTATAGCATCTGATTGCAAATAAAACTAGATGGCTCCGTGGGATGAGAGCGTAGGGGAAATGAGAAGCCTCTGAGCGAGTTGAGGGGCGGGGCTAAACATTCAAACCTTGCAGAAACGGGTATAGCTCCTTTAAGCACCACCGGCTCTAACCCAACGTTAAAAATACGTCAAAAACAATTGCACTTCACACATTTTTTTTGTTTTTTTCTGGGATACTGGGAAATTTTGGTTTTAATAACACTGATTGTTCCAAAAGAAAACATTATACAAGTAAAATGTTGTGAACAAACCAGACTGGAACTGAATAATAATGTATATCATTCACATTCTGTCTTGTTTAGAATGAAGATTTATTTATCTATTTTATTTAACCTTTATTTAACCAGGAAAGTCCCATTGAGGTTCAGAATCTAACGGGAGTCCTGAAAAAGAAGAAACTAAAACAATTGTCTTTTCAATAACACAGTGATTTTAAAATGTTTTCTTTGGACAAAAATTGTTTCCCCAAAGTCAGCTATTGACAAAATCCCCACATCTGCCTCTGGGTCACTCACAGCCACATCTCAGCCTGAAAAATGTGACTTTGTTTGTTTGTTTTTTTATCTCCTGCTGCTGCTCCTTTTGTGTCTCTGTTGTTTGCCGCATTTTCTAACCCCAGAGGAGGACTGGCTTTGCTCGCGGCTGCCTATAACCTGCTCATGTTTATGCATTTATGTCACACTCTCCCACAGACAAAACACGGGGAAGTGAAGCCGGGATCCAGTCAGCACCGCGCTGTCGCCTCGCTGCCTTTCAAACTGTGTGAGAGCCACTTGACAGGCTTTAGAAAGACAAAACTGTGTACCTTTGCAAGAAACAGAAGTAAAGCTTGATTCTGACAGAAATACTGGAGCTGCTGATGTCATGTTAGCAACTTAAAATGAAAACTTAAAGCTGGGGTACCTAACTTTGAAACCACAACAAATTAACTATAGGTTATGCAAATGGTAACTTCAACAAGACTATATCTGTTGGGACTAACGGTCAGAAATGGTAAATAGCCACTTTTTTCTAGCACTTTTCTACTTTTCAAGACTTTCAAGGTGCCAGTCGCGCACACACACACACACACAGAGGTGGGTTAAGCGTCTTGCCCAAGGACACACAGCCACATTCATGGGAGCTGGTTTTGCTCCTGCCAAACTGTGGGTCAACTAACAATGTTTATGTCGGGAGCAGGATTCGAACCGCCAACCTTCAGCTCATTTGAGACATGCTCTACCAATACTTCCACCAAAATGTAACCAAAAACTAAAAAAGATAATAAAACAATTACAAATTGTTTGGAATTACTTGTGCCTGAATTTGTAGCAATTCACAAACTGGATAGCATTTACGGAAGAAACCAAAGAAAAGACCTAAATACAAAGATACCTAACTTTCAAATTACAAAAATAATAATAATTCTGTCATAAAATCCATCAAACCAGTGACACTCACTAGATTTCATGCATGTGTAAATGTGGTGACCTCTGTCTCATTGTTTGGATCAGTTTTTCAGACAGAAAAGCGAAAAGCTCTCAGCCCAAAGCGTCAAATAAGTGACACGTCTGGTTTAATTGTTTGGTAAGGAAGAATGCGCAAAACTTTCAGTCTCTAGATGTGTAAAAACGTATGTGCTTTCACTTAACAGTTTGTTGTGGTTTCAAAAAAGCCTAATATAGAATCTTCATGTATATTTATGACATGATATTTATGACATGATATTTATATTATGCACATGACAAAATGTGCATAATATAAGATCAGATATTCCTTCATCTGTCTCACTGTGGAGACATTTCAGTGTCATCGTTGCGCACATTACAGCAGAGAAAGAAGGAAATAAGAGCACTCAGATTGCACACATCAGTCTATTATTCAAGATAATAGACAATTGAATTAAAATACAATAATAAGATGGTAAAATAGAATTAAATATAATATACTCTTTACTTGTAGCTGTTGACAGATGTGTATATTGTACTTTAGCAGCGGAGAATATGAGCAGAATAAACATCAGTAATAATCACAACAGGAAGTGACTAGTGATATCTAGATATATCAGATGGATTGATAATGCAGTGATAATATCAACAACAGGTAAAGTGACGAGTGAATTGCAGAAGTATCAGATGGATGTATATATAATAAAGCAGTAATAACAACAGGTAAAGTGACTAGTGACTATGTTCCTAGTGAATATACATTGTGTTAATACGCCTGCAAACTCTCATCTGAACTAAAGCCTTGTGTTGTATATTTCCGGTCACTGACATAACAAAAGTGGATCAGAGAAGTGCTGCTCTGTGGTGTCTCAGGTCATGACTCTGAGGACAGATTTTTGCTCTTGTTGTAAAACGTCACGATGGATTAAGTCGGACGTTCGGGATCAGAGTGGAGCAGCTCGGTGTAAATCTGAATTAATCTGGACAGGCGCTTAGATCTGCAGCAGGAAAACACCAAGGAGTCCGGAATCTAAAAGAGATCAATGCTAAAAAAGGACAAAAGATTGAGTTTAAACAGGAGCAGCTGAAGATAGAGTTATCTACAGATGCAGACAAATGCTTGGATAAATGATAGAAATAAGAATATGTTTTAATTTTACAAAGGGACTAATGTAATATGCTCTTGGTAGTATTAAAGTCATATAATTAAAATCAGACTATTGTTGCCAGATTCTTTCTGCCTGTGACACCTTTATATCATCTATCATAACATATGGCTTACTCTATGACATTTCCTGTGTTTTTACATGTGTTATTTTTATGTTTTTATCTCCTGTGCTGCTCAAACGAATTGCCCCTAGTGGGATAAATAATATATCTGAATCTAAATCTGAATCACCTGCGACTCCTGAACACAGCTTACTGATGCAATCCACCTGCTGGAGTTAAGATAGAAACAGTACAAAGTATGTGTGGTACCTTTTGACACTTATTTTTGTACCTAGAATCATTTAAATGTATGCGATCCTATTCTTTTTTTTTGTACATTTGGTTTAAAAACAAGAGATAGAGGAATAAAATGGCTCAATTTCTCCTAACAAACTGGCAACCCAAATGAGACCAAATGATTCTGCTCTCTGATTGGTTAGGGTTGATTTCACAGTGACAATTGTTTCCTGGACATTTTTAGTGTGTTTTATTCCTTTACTTTAACTTTGTGTTCTTTATGGACTTGTTTAGGGCACACTGGGGATTTTCGCAATTTGGATGGATATTCCAACTTGGTTTTACTGCAGATGGTATATACTGTAAAATGAGGCTGAATCTGAAATATTATACAAAATATGTGTACAATAAGTTAAGTCAGTCCATCAGCCTTCCTCACATTGATTTTTCTCTCGGGGGGAATTTGAGGCGGAGGCTTTGTTTTTGTCTCTTTGTGTCGCTAACGTCGTGCTAATGCTACAGTATGTTGTTGTGTAAGTGCTGCTCTCTGCTTTAAATAGACAAGTGCCCTGCTGCCACCTGTTAGCTAACGGCTGTTTTCAAAAGCTTCCTCAAAACGCACCTATAAATGTGCACCGAGAAGAGCTTTTGTTGTAAATATAACGTCCACTTTATAGGAAGGAGGGAAATGTATTTATATAGCACGGTGAATACAGACATGCAACTCAATGTGGGGAGCAAAGACGGTGCGACTAAAATAGAAAAGAAAGGTTGGTTTTGGTGTTGAATGAACCAGTATGAGTGGTCATAGCAGCATGCGAAAACCAGATCCCGCCAGACCTCTGAAACGAAGCAGGGCAGAGCCTGGTTAGTACTGTGATGGGAGACTGTTGGGAACACCAGCAGCCACAGTGGGGCGGCTGCGGCTGTAAAATGCCAAACTGTTGTCAAATCCTTAGGCAAGAAACCTCACCCACTTTGCCTAGAATGATACTGTGTGTGTGAATGGTTGGTGGTGACTGGAGGGGCTGATGGCACATACAAGCTGCCTCGCCTCTGTCAGTGTGCCCCAGGGCAGCTGTGGCTACACTAGTAATTTATCATCCGTGTGTATGGAGTGAATGAATAATGACATGTGAACCCATGCATTATTGTTATTTTCAGGGTCAGTTTTGAAGTCATTAAGCAGAGATTCAGATTCAGTTCAGTCCATTTGCAGTAAAACCACATTGGAATATATTTGCAAAATGTCCCCAGTGTGCACAAGACGAGTACATAAATAAAAAAGTTCAAAAAGCGTCCCATAAAGGGAACCAAGCAGTCATTTTTAGTTTTACATTAGGAACGTAGTGAAAAGTTGAGGTTTGAGAATCTGAGATAGTAAGTAAGTAAGTAATCTTTATTTATATACCGCCTTTCACAGACCAGAGTCTCAAAGCGGTTTACAATTGTTATTTTTGGGCACTTCTCCTCTCACTCCACACGGAGATGGGAGCGGGGTCGCCAGTACAGGAGGCACATGCCAGACCTATTGTGCATATTTTTAGTGGTAGTGGAAACCGGAGTGCCCGGAGGAAACCTACCTTTTCTTATCATACTGAGGTGAGCTATACAGTCCAGGCAAAGCAATAACACTTCCATGGTAGTAAAAAGTGACGCTATAAGCACCTTTTAATTTGAACAAGTGGAATACTCCCAGAGTCACATCACATCTCAGGCAAGTGCTGCCGGACAACACTGACACGAGAAAAGTTACATAATCGACATATTTAGTCAGAGGTTGTTTTATGAGACACAAGCAGATTTAGCCTAAAGATGAAAACTGACATGATGTTAACACCACAAACAATGTACAGGTAACTATAAGTAGTAAACAGTTTGGTTCTATCATTAGTAGTGATCTTATTATTTTCTAATAAGAAGAAGAATACAGCATGTTGTGGTTTTTTTACAAAGCTCTTTCTGTCAGGACAAACTAAAAGTATTACATGGCTTCGCACCAAAGTACATCCATGACATGTTAGTGCCGTATGAACCAACTCAGACTCTGAGGAGCACAGGGACTGGCCTCCTGCAGGAGCCCAGAGTCAGGACTAAACATTTCAGATTTAAGCGGCAAAAATCTGGAATCCTGAAAATGTGAGACAGGCCGCATTTACTGTAGCTGTTTGCATACAACTGATTTCAATTCAATGCTCTTGAAATCGCCCATACAGATTAGAGAATCAAATGGTTCGAACACAAAAAATATAGAACCCATGGGTCTCCCTCTATGGACAAATACATGTACCTACAACATGTCCATTAGGAGTGTGACAATATATCGATATGGTGATGTATCGTGATACTTTCTCACGCAATCAATTATCGATATGCTTTTACTATGCATCGATACAAAAAAATACTAAAAAATTAAGCTTTACTTGAAAAAAGTATTGATACTTAATATATGGCAGCATTAAGCATTCAACAATGTCTGTAGAATGTTCATATTTGATTTTATTGGATAAAAGACAGACTAAGTAAGATTTGTACTAAAATGTGCTTGTTCACTTTAATGTTACACATGACACTTTATCCATTTATCTTTGTTTTAACTTCATTTATGCCATAAATATAAGAAAAATATTATAGGTATATTTTTGACCAATATATCGATAATCGCTGCATGGTCATAGATAATCGTTATTGTGAGCTTTGTATCGCACATCGTATTGTATGGTGAGGTTCCTACCCCTGATGTTCATGTATGTTGATAAATGTCCATAAATGTTGTATATGAGTGTCCTGTATCATCACCACAGTCTCAGACACGCTTGAAGGAAGAAGGATTGTATCTTCACTCCTTTGAATGTATACTGTCATTATTTAAGAAACCTTGTGCGATTTTAATGTTTCTTTATGAATTGTGTAACTTTTTGTATATGAAAAGTGCTGTACGAATAAATATTGATAGATTATTTATGAAAGACAAAAAATAGGTTTCCCAGCTTTAACAAAATAACCCCTTTGATTAAATATTTAGAGCATAGTCGAGTTTATTACGTTTTTGCAACACGTCTCCCACCGATCTCCCCATGACCCTAATCCACACCGCTACTTTCTTTGTTACGCCCGAGCGCCTAATTACGTAAATCAAAGGGACTCTGACGTGACGGTGGGAGTGAGTCATCCACGCAGACTTGCAGCGCCTGTGTCTGCAACAATAACAACATCATGTCTGTACTTACTGTCTGTGATCTTCTGCAGACCCAACACGTCCTCAGGCGTGATCCCCGCGGAGCTAGACAGCAGGTCTTCCTCCGTGGTCACCGGGACCCCCACCACCACGTCCAGCGAGCCTTTCCTCACCCGCATCCCGCCTCTCTCCTTGGGGCTCCTGCTGCAGCTGTGTCCGCTCGCGGCCGCCTGCGCCCCCGGGTCTGTGGACGGATTGTGCGCTCCTCCAGTCGCTCCAGTCTTGGCGTCTTGGCTGCTGCCTCTTCTCGTACAAGAATAGCTCATTCCGCTCCTCCTCCCAGCTGCTGTATTGTCGCGTCCCTCGCACACGGATGCTGCTTGTGTCCAGAAAATCTCCTTTATTACCTCTCGGTCTAGTCGGTCGCTTGTGATTTGTGTGCGCGTAAAAAAGAAAAGAAAGACACATTTAAAGAAAATAATTAAATTTGCGCGTCTCTCTTTGCGACTGCGCCTGTTCGTGGACCAAAAATGAAGAAGTCTGAAATAATCGCTCAAATTAACCAGAGGCGGCAGATGGTGGACGCACAGGGAGGAGGTGGAGGAGGAAAAGGGGGGCGTCTCCTGCGCGCGAAGAGGCAGCAGCTGATGCGCTCTATGGTCACACAGACACCAGACATGTATTGTGTTGATGCAAATGCGACAATGTGACAGTTTGGTTCTACGTCATGGTGCTACGTCCCTTAGGACTTCGCTAGTGGGATATCACGTGACCCCCAGGTCACAGACGCCAGAGAGATCAAAATAATTTGCTCCAATCACCAGCCACCTTCCTCTATAAATGCCCCTGCACAAGGCCGCACCCCCCCTTTTTCACTCTGGCGCCGTTTGAGATCTACATTCGTTACCTGAGAAAGAAAGATGTCTTCTGATGCACGTCCGAGTTCCCCTTCGCCATCCGGCGTCGGACGTCGTCGTTGCTCGACCTGTCGGGGCAAGCTCCAACGCAAGGACCAGCACTCCAGCTGCTTCATGTGCCTGGGTGCGGGCCATGCGGCGTTGAGCGCCACCTGCGCCTCGTTTGTCGCTCTCCCCAGGGAGGAGAGTGAACGCAGGCGCGCGTTCTTCGCCGCTACAGCGCCCCGTCCGGACTCCTCTAAGGACGAGGAGTCGGAGATTGACTGGGCCCCCCTCGACATTCCACCTGTGCCCGCGGAGTGGGGTGACTGCGAGGACGGAGAGGTGTCGGAGGTCGGCTCTCTCCTCACGCTGGACGAGGTGGTGTCCAACCCGGAGCCGGACCGCTTCCCGCTGGACCACATGCCTGGGCTCTACGCCACGGCGGCGGCCATCATGGATGCCCCCCTGCCACCGCAACCGAACCAGAGGGTGGAGGACTTCACCTCTGGGTACGCAGCCCCTCGAGGGAGGAGGAGAGCCCAGCCCACGTTGTGCCCGCGTATGGACCCGATCGTCCATTACGCGACACGTGAGTGGCCAAAACCCCTAGCGGCCAAGAGGCCCGCTTTGGGGTATGGCATGTACTGCAACGTGCAGGACTGGTCCTGGACAGGCGGGGTCCCGGACATCGAGGACTCGGTTCGGGCGGCCCTGCACCCCTCCTCATCCGTGTGGCCCAGCACCAGACCTCTCCTTCCCTCCGAGCGGGATAGGATGTCTCTGGCTATGCATGACAGATGTTACGCCAATGCGGCTCAGGTCGTCGCGGTGGCGAACAACATGGCTTTCATCACCGGGGCCCTGGATAGGTCTCTCTCCTCTGACCAGGCACTCAGTGGAGACACCTTAGCCCAGGCGAGGACCACTTCAGCAGCGATCTTGCGCATGTGCCAAGCGCTAGCTGTCGATGGCGGCCGCTCTATGGCAGCAGCCCAGGTCGGGGCCAGACACCTCTGGCTGGGGGCGGTGAACCTCAGAGAGGCGGAGAAGAGGCAGCTGCTGGACCTGCCCATCTCCCAGACGTCGCTCTTCGGTCCGGAGATGCAGACGCTGATGACGAGGCTGGACAGCGCGGCTAAGGACTCGGCTAGCCTAGCAAAACACCTAGCTACGAGACGCGAGGCCCGCCCACCAGCGCGGAGCCGAGACAGAGGCAGGGAGCGCTCGCCTGGCAAGCGCCCCGGACCATATCCACGCTCCGTGGTCCATCGTTCCCCAGCGGCGAGACCCCCGGGCCCAGACAGGCACACGGGAGGTTCGCGGGACCAACACACCCATCGACGGCCTCCCTACGGTAGAGGAGGTCGGGGTGGTAAAAACTCTTTCAATAAAGGCCGTCCGGCATTTCACCAGTACTCGCTGTCTGAGTCTCATTTGGGGGTATGTAACATGTCAAATGATTTGAATTCTGTTTGTGTTACTTCTCGAGCATATAACGTGGCTCCGCCAGGCCTGCAGCCCCCAGAGAAGGGCGTGCAGCGCGCTGTGCAGACCACGAGCTCCGATTCACGGGTTCATGTTTTGCCCTCCCGGAGAGAGGGCAGGCGGAGGGATCTGATAAGTGCTAATGTGTGTGCTCCGGGCGCTAGCGTGTTAGCATCTCTGAGCTACAAGGCTAACACGGGGTTTCCCAATCCAGGGGCTCTCCCCCCCCTCCATGAGGCAAGAGCCAAGGGGGGGCGCAGCAGCCGTGTCACGCGTGATGAGCAGAGCTACATTGCTAACACGGGGTTTCCTAATCCAGGGGCTCTTCCCCCCCTCCATGAGGCAAGAGCCAAGGGGGGGCGCAGCAGCCGTGTCACGCGTGATGAGCAGAGCTACAATGCTAACACGGGGTTTCCCGATGCAGGGGCTCGCCCCCCCCTCCATGAGGCAAGAGCCAGGGGGGGGCGCAGCAGCAGCCGGGTCACGTGTGGTGAGCAGTCCCGTACTTATGACGTCGGACCTGCAGAACACGTGACCGCCCTCGGCGCTCACGGTGTGACGCAGGGGCCCCCCCGGCCCTTTCAGCCACCCCCCCTCCCTGCTAGGAACACCAGGAGGGGGCGGGGCCATGACGTCTCGTGTTCCAGCTCCCGTTCCGCCCCTCACAGATTTCTACGACATCTGGAAGGAGCAGGGCTTACTGTCAGATGTTTGGCTGGAGAAAACTCTGCGCAGAGGTTACGCTCTGCAATTTTTCCGAAAGCCACCACCATTCCGAGGCGTACGGGCAGTACGCTCTCAGGTACGGGGATCGACAGAGGCACTGGAAGCAGAGGTCTCCTCCCTGCTGAGTCGAGGCGCAGCAGTGGAGGTAGACCCGCAGGACGCCACCAGGGGGCTGTACTCCCCTTACTTTCTGGTGCCAAAGAAATCAGGCGGGGTGCGTCCCATTCTGGATCTGCGCGTGTTAAACGAGTGCATTTCCAAACGGCAGTTTCGGATGCTGTCCACAAGGCAGCTCCTCGAGTGTGTCAGGGAAGGAGACTGGATGACATCCATAGACCTGACAGACGCATACTTCCACGTACCCATAGTGCCAGAACACAGGAGATTTCTGCGCTTCGCAGTGGGAGAGAGGAATTACGAGTACTGCCGTCTCCCTTTCGGGTACGCTCTCGCGCCTCGCACTTTTTCCAAATGTGTGGAAGCGGCTCTGGAGCCGATCAGACGTGCCGGGGTAAGAATATTGACCTATATAGACGATTGGTTAATACTGGCCCCATCCAGGGAAGTGGCCGTGAGCCACACGCAATGGGTCTTGTCCCACATACAGCGTCTGGGCTTTGTGGTGAACAGGGAGAAGAGCAAGCTGCAGCCAGCCCAACGCATGATTTACCTCGGTCTGCAGCTAGACTCTGTGATATTCCGTGCTGCATTGTCCGTGGACAGACGGACGAATATTACCCGTCTGGCCCGGGAGGTTCTGGCGGGCCCCAGAGTTCCCGCTCGGCGCCTCAGGTCCCTGCTGGGGATGATGGCAGCGGCTCATGCTGTGGTGCGGCTAGGCCTGCTCCACATGAGAAATTTTCAGAGGTGGTTCTCGCGCCTCAGGCTTCACCCCTCCCGGGACGGGGGGAGGCTGATCTGGGTTCCCCAAGGGGCAGCATCGGACATCAGGTTCTGGCTCACTCCGGGTCTACTGCGGGACGGAGTGACTCTGGCCTGCGCTGTGTCTCACGCCGAGGTGTTCACGGACGCGTCGCTCGAAGGATGGGGCGGGGTCCTCGGCCAGAGCTCTGTAGGAGGCTGCTGGTCGGACTCAGCCCGTCACATCAACCTGCTGGAGATGGAGGCAGTGCACAGAGTACTGCTGCACTTTGCCCCTCAGCTGCAGGGGAGACACGTGATGGTGCGCTCAGACAACACCACAGTGGTCTCCTATCTGAACAGGCAGGGGGGCACCAGGTCCCCCGCTCTCCATCGCATGGCGACGGTGACGCTGCTGTGGGCGGCGCTTCACCTCCTGTCTCTCAGGGCGCGCCACGTCCCGGGGGTCCGGAACGTGGGAGCCGACAGGATGTCCAGGGGGGGCCCACTCCAGGACGAGTGGGGCCTGGCCCCACGGGTAGCCGCGGAGATCTGGCGGAGGTTCGGTCGTCCAGTAGTCGACCTTTTCGCCAGTGCAGAGAACGCACAGTGCCCGTCCTGGTTCGCCTTAAGGGCCGCGGACGAGCCGCCTTTAGGCGTGGACGCTCTGGCTCATTACCCATGGCCAGGCGGCCTGTTGTACGCTTTTCCACCGGTGCGTCTCCTGCCGGTCCTACTGCGGAGGATCGAACAGGAGAGGAGGTCGGTGATTCTGGTGGCTCCGGACAGCCCGCATGCCCGGTGGTTCCCCTTCCTGAGGGGCATGGCGGTGATGGAGCCCTGGGCCCTCCCGGACGAGCCGGGGGCTCTAGTCCAGGGGGCAGGAGCCCTGTTTTCACGTCCGATAATCGGCCGCAGGCTCTGGGTTTGGAGGTTGAGAGGCGGAGCCTCGTAGATCTGGGTCTTCCCCCTGCGGTGGTGGAGACAATTCAGGGAGCGAGGGCGCCGTCCACCGTGAGGGCCTACGCCACGAGGTGGAGGCTATTCAGTGCCTGGTGCGATTCCCGTTCCTGGGATCCCAGGTTTTGCCCGCTGGAGGGGGTCCTGGGATTCCTACAGGAGCTTTTCGACAAGGGGAGGGCTGTCGCTACCTTGGCGGTGTTTGCGGCAGCCATTACTTCAGGTCACGACGGGTTCGGGGGGTTCACAGCCCGCTCTCACCCGTTGATTAAACGTTTTCTGCGGGGGGCGCGCAGGAGGAGGCCCCCGCTCCAGAGAACGCCTCCGGTTTGGGACCTCAGGGTGGTCCTTAGGGGGCTGTCGGGTTCGCCTTTTGAACCGGCGGCGGAGGCGAG